GCCTGCTTCTGCGAATTCGGCCCGTCTTAGCCTTCTTTGCTCTTGTTTGAATATTGTAGACTGCTGCCTTAACTTTTGTTTTTTGAATCCTACCCATACTTTCTACAAAGATCTATTTTTTATATTGGTGTCCCTTGGGCTCCATCACCTGTTGTATCGAATTTATTGCTTCTTTAATTCTACTTCAACTGTTCTGCATAGCAGTTTCTCTTTCTAGCAGATCTTGTAAGGCTTGTAACTTGCTGCGGAGAGCTATGTTGAGTTCGGCGAGTTTATTTGCATCGCAAAGGAAGGCATCATCAAACTTTTCTAGTGCTGCCTACCCAGTTGTCCAATGCCTCTTTAGCTCCAACTTAGCCATCACCAGGTGGTGACTTAAAGTCAGATCAGCTTCTTCTCTTGTCCTTGAGTCTCCCATGGACTTTTAAAGCTTTTTATTGATACACACGTGATAGATTTGGTCTTCGTTAGAGTGCTTCGTGAGAGCCAAGAAGTTTTATGTATGCATTTGTGAGGGAAAACGATCCCACCTAAAACCATACTGTTGAAAACACATATATATACCACTCTCTCATCATTCTTGTTTCTTCCTCCCAGCCTATGTTGCTCCATGATATTTTAATAGCCGGTGTTTACAACACTGACCTTGGCATTTAAGTCCTGAATCAGGATGGTCAGGTTTTTCGGGAAGTTCTCCACGATGAACTGGAATTATCACCTTTGCTAAAATCATTGATGACTGAGCAACACCACATGTCATTTATTGCAACCCTCTCTTTGTTTCGAAGGGTGGTTTAATGACCACGGAGCAACGAGATTCTCATTATATGAGCGCCGCTCGTGCTTCTTTGGAGAGCATCAGCGAGCCATTTCCTCCTTCATGACCAATAGCACCTCTCCCGATGTTGGTCTTATCTGTCCAACGTTTCCAATGAGTTTCACTTACTCCAAGCAGACTAAGGTTCTGTCTTCTAATTCCCACCACTATTAGGATGATCCTTACGGTCTCCAACATTTTGCGGACATTCCATGTGCTTATATTAGTTGTTGCGCTGGTTATAAGAAGGGGGTGACGTTTGTGAGAAAGGTTATTTTTGCGGGATGTGGTTGCTAACCCCATTCCCAACCCTCATCTTTTACCTGGGCTTGAGGCCAGAAGTGACCCAAGAAAGGCCTTAAGCAGTAATCAACGTAAAATGTGTTTACTAGCAAAACGACTCATTAAATACATAAAATGTTATTGGGAACATAAACGATTTCAGGATACCAGTCATGTACGTAACTCGTTTTTCAAGATACGATTATGAAGCTTGATTCTTACCATCTATGTTGCAAGTACACTCAAACACCATCCAAAAATATATTGGCCCTGTAATCTATGTTAAGCAAGTAGTGCTTTTCGACCGAAAAGTCTTCAATGCTCACTATGGTGATGAAAGGTAGTTTTGAAAAATAATGAAGTTTCCTATTTGGAACTGAAAGTTTTATAAATGATCAGGTATGAAGTCTCTAAAAACCAGTTAAAGTGGGGACTCATCGAAATACACCAGGCAAACATTTCTTGTGAATTACCGCACTGTCTTAAAATGACCAAATAATCACATTTTTAACTTTGAGGTCCATATATAGTGCTAAATACGTGCAACCAATAAAGAGGAAAATGCATTGGAAAAGAAAGTGGAAATAATGTGAAAATGCACCAGAATTTCTGCTTTTACGCATGTTATGGGGAAATAATGTAGAATTCCCCCTTTTTTGTCGCTGTATCAAATGTTGCAGATAGTCTACTTTTCGCCTAAATACTTAACACACGCTTGATTAAACGCTTTACTATCCACCTTTTCACAAACTGCAATGTCTTCTGTGTTTGCCTTTAATTCCAAAACAAACCACACGACAACTGCAATGAATAACGTTAAAAAATGTACATGTTTAAATTTTATTTACTTATTTAAACACATAAATATTGGTACAAAGGGGTACCAGATACATATGCGCCACACAAATCTCATTTGATTATGAATAGCGGACAGATGCTCGAACAACGATCGTTATAAGGGACAAGTTTGCACATCAACAAAATTCATTGGATTATTTGTTCGTATCGCAGATGGCCATGCTAACGCGGTTAATGGATGATAATCCTAAAACGTTTATGCGCTATATTTTGTCATACATCATGACACCTGGAGTTGCCAGCCATTTTACTCTACATGGGATTTCGTCTAAAAGAGCCCTTCAGAAGTGCAGGATTTACGAGTGCAAACGAAGCAAGAAATCTTTTTTTTAAATCTTCAGGCTCATTAACAACTCGGTTCCTGCCCTTATCCGTCAAAGAAAAACAACTTGCTAAAGGTATTTTCGCGACGAGACAAACTGCAAAAGCGTCATCGAATAAAATGAGGATATGCATGTACTTCTGTAAAGTTATAAATATTCTCTGCTGTTCTATAGGCACAGTGTTCAGTGTTAACGAACATAACTGTTAAACTTCACGTAGACAGTTGTTTAACAAACTATGGCAGCTAGATGTCGTTGCAATTTTTGTGTTCATTGAACTTCAGAATTCACAGGAAGATTACTTTGGGACGCAGTAATAAAACTGTAGTTTAAGAAAGGCATCACTGTTGAAGTGCTTTTTTTAACTTAGTATTCAATTAGGCTTTTTCTTACCATGCGCTGAATTTCTGATTTGTATGTGGAATTCTTTAAGCGTATGCTGTAAAAATCTGTTTTATTTTAAATACGCTTATAATTAAGTGCACGCGCCGAATCAATAACCCATAACCTGTTCTTTCTTTAGCAAGTCTTCGCAAATTACATAAAGACTTGGCACTTACAATGAGAATGCATAACGATTGTTGTTCGAGCATCAGCGCATTAGCGAGCCATTTCCTCCTTCATGACCAATAGCACCTCTCCCGATGTTGTTCTTATCTGTCCAACGTTTCCAATGAGTTTCACTTATTCCAAGAAGACTTATGTTCTTTCTTTTAAAGATTGAAGGAAATCACTTTTAATGTTGATTTCGTGTACAAATATGTGTTTAAAATGTGTGTGCTCTTAAGAAATTGTCACGATGAATGTTGGGCAACCGATGTTAGAAAGGTTAGCTAATACAATAGAATTCTAAAAGATAAAAATAAAATCAACTACAACCATGTGCGAAATGTTATTTAACCCTTCCTATTACTCCAACAATTTTAATGAATGTGTAGTAGCAGTGGAATATCACTGAGCCCTAGCCAAATTATCCGGCAGTTTTGTCACTGAATATCAAACAGGTAATCGTTCTCTTTCAAAGTCAAGGACAACCAACGTGCATCAGTTAATCGTATACCATGAACTGGCGCATGTGGTGGTGGTCTCGATATCTTCTCTGTAAACATTCTTACCACTGTATATCCATTCTTACGTGTTTTGTGTTATACGGTCTTCAAATAATCCATAATACTCTAGTACGTCGAATAGGTAATCCACGTTAGTCAGTGGCTGCGAGGTGTGTCTTCGAAGTAAGCTATTTCTCCATACCAGTCTCGTCTAACTCGAGTAGGCTTCCAATCATTCGACAGATATCATCAACGTTGACGGTCTACACTGGTGAGAAAGACTTTGAATAACGCAATTTAACATTATGATCATTATTACATCATATACTGATTCCTTTCCTTGTTTGTCTCCTCCTATGTCACTCAATTGCTGTAAATATTCGTTGTTTCATATCAATGTTAATTAGTACTTAAACTCAAATGGTTATTTCAATCGATAGAACTAACCAATCAACTGGGATTATAATCCGCCATCGTGGTTCTTAAACAACCATGGCTAGCATGTAAATATTCCTGTGTAATATCTCTGTTAAACTATAGATCATTAGTAAATATAGCCACGGGGCAACACGACCGCACAACTGTTTGTAACTTATCCACTTGTATAAGCGAGACAAGATTAACTGTCGATTGTGAATTCATCTTTCTGATTAATCATTATCAACTAACTTCCATCAGAAACTACTCACCAGGATGTTTAACCTACTTGACCACCGCCTGCCACATTTCCAATTTGCTGAGTCTCATGGCGAAGAAGAGGATACGAATGCCATGAATTTACGCTCGGCAATACTCGGAAGATTCATATTAATCGTTTGGTCACCTCCGACGCGCGACTACTTCTAACATGTTTGGAACCGATTCAAACGGCCGTTGAATCTGGTGGGGGAGTATTGTAGCGGCAGTGCGATGCCACTGAGCCCTGAAGAAATCATCAGGCTGTTGGTTCACTGAATATCGATCAGACAACGCCATGCTCAACTTCTCCTGCAATCGTTAGCCAGTTTATATCAATAACTTCCCTATAAAATCAGAAGGGAATTTGTGGAGATTTCAGTATTTTTCAAAGTTGCAATCATGAGTCAATTGAATCTAGACCACTATGAAAAACCTGGAAGCACTGGATGGCCGTTTCGTTCTATTATGGGACTCCTCAGCAGTGCGCATCCACGAACCTGCTGTCGCGAGATTCGAACACAGGACCTACCAGTCTCGAGCCGAAGCCCTTAACCGATAGACCACTGACATGGCATCCAACGGTGTTAATGTCTAACTTCAACTAATCCATGAAGTTGAGCAACCATTCACCAATTGTTTTCAGTGAGTTCCCATCTCACAACAGACGTGTTGTGGATATATGAATGGTTTTCGATGGTGGTCTAGCTTCAATTGACTCATGATTTCAACTTTGAAAAAAGCTCCCCTATTTTTCGATATCCTATCAAATATATCATCCAACCTCATCGTTTCTGATTTATGATTTCACCGGGTAGGCACGATCCAATTATAGGTTTTACTAGTTGAAGTGTTGTCGAAATACAAATGCCTGTGACATCTTTAACTGAAATAAATGAATAACTACTTGATCGTTCCAAAAATGTATTAAGATATTATTAGTTAGAACATTTTTTTATTTGGGATGTTGAATATTTGTTTGTCGACATCACTACTCAGAGTTTTGACCTTCGGCCTTGTTTAACTTTAGTTCTAAGATCATCGTGGTCAATGTCGATCCATAGAAAGCATTTGGCGAAATATGACGATCCTATCAGAAGGCAAGGTGACAATGAACTTTGAAGTTGATTTTGACAGCAGTGGAAGTGACTCTTCGTCTTTGTACAATTCTGACTCTGGAGTCAGTGTAGAGACGCCGGCCTCATGTAACACATTGGCGGCTTTCAATTTCGGACGTCCAGATGATGCTGAATATCTATACTGTGATCTACTTTCCTTCTATGAAACACATTCCGTGACAGTGATACAGGCAGTACAGTGTCTTTCTAATGTGAATATTGATATCAGTCTTAACGCATGTACTTATTTATTCAATTTATGCAGATGTGGATATGCGTCATTTATCGCCCGTATATGTCCAGATGTTTTCTACAGTGTAAAGATACCTATATTTTGCCCCTCCGCTAGCAAGTACGTAGACGTAATTCATTGCATGAGCGGCATTATAAACTATTTTTCACAGTGCCCAGATGGACTGGCTATAGTAGTGCACAATGGAGGGCTTGATGTCATTAGTGGGCTTCTGCTTTTCCCTTTTGAATCTGTTTTATACTTCTGTGTGACTGCCCTACATAACATATTGTTAAGTCACAAAACAGCTAAAGGTTTCATTAATCGAACATGCATCTCTAATCGTCTAATAAATCTTCTAAATTATTCTATTGAACACGTAAAATCAGATACACCGTATTCATTAACATCACCAAACTTACAGAAGAGTATCAATCCAAAGTTCTTAGCAGTTCTCTGTGATTGTTTGTATATATTAGCATACAGGTCTGAAAGTACGAAAAAAACGTTTAAGGAACAAGGCGGACTATCTTCCCTTTTAAGAGTTATCATGATTTCAACTTACGAAAAAGTTTTATGGACAGCTACCAGACTTCTTCGAGTTTTATCTGCCTGGATTCCCGTTAAATATGAAATAGTTGCTCAAGATCCACTTTTGGATTTCTTTAATCATTGTTTAGAATGTCACTCATCGCGAGTAATAACAAATGCCCTATGGACTATGCGAAATCTTTCAGATATTGCCGTAGATAATATAACATCGGATGTCTCCGTTAATGTAGTAAAACAGCTTCTTTCTCAATTGAGACTCAACATATGTAGTGATAGCTATGGAGCTCACTATTCAACCAATACTGGAGGTGATACTCCTGTGTCCCGGTGTGTTCTAGGAGCACTAGCAAATTTAACATGTAGAAATAATGCTGCGAAGTCCTACGTTGTTCGGGTAAGTTTTCGAAAAAAATTTTCTTGAATCTTCTAATTCACACTTTTAAATCTATGATGGTCTTTTGCTTCCTCTAATTAAACAAGAATGGAGCGGTGGCCTAGTGGTACGGCGTTTTATTTTCAAGTCTCAGGTCCAAACGCCGCTTCACCTACTTCGATTTAGGTGATCCGGTAGCATCAGTGGCCTTTACTATTTGTGTGGTTCATAACCAAGTGCCTGAAAAATGAGTTAGTTTAATTCAATCCTAAAGATCTTTTCTGAAACTATTACTTAACATCACTTGACCATAAAAGTTGGTTTAGTGCGATGGTTTCACATGTATTGTATCAATTATTCTAGAGTACAAATGTGTATTTATTTGTTTATTTAAACAAATATTAGTACAAAGGGACACCAGATATATATGCGCCACACAAATTTCATTTGATTTATGTGAGAGCTGTGATACTGCTCAGGTGCCCAGACTGAAGCAGGTGGTTTTCTTAGGGGACCACACCCGGAGCCTTTGACCGAAAGATCTGATCCACAAGGCAGTGGAGCATCGTAAGGAGATGCAGTCCCATGGTAGCCAGTCACCAACGATTGATTCATACGTCATTTGTTCCCTCAGGATACTGGAAACCATGTGCACCATTGGTTTGGAATGAGGGTTTTCCAACTCCCCTAGGCGGACGTGCCATGTCTACCAGCTCGGTTAAAGCACCGGACATTCGCTTTTCGTCCTCTGAATTTCGTAAACAACAGTAAAGTAACGAGAAGGCAGTGAGTAGGACTTGTGTGGCAGAGGCTATATGGGCGTGGCCATGTGAGAGCATTTGGAGAGGGAGAGCGAACTCTCCACTTTCGGCCCTACCAGGGCATTTGGGAGCTACTCGTAGACCAGATAATACTAGTCTCCGTTTTTCCGCGAAAAGGAATTCTCCACGTTCTTGAATGTATCCAACATCAATGTGGCGGTTACATTATCTCACCCGATCTAGAACCAATAACTTATTATTTATGCAGCTAAGATTTCCATGTTTCATGACGCCTAACAAAAGTTAAGTGTATAACATCCACCGATGTTATTGGTAAACAATTAAGTCAGTTTAGTAGTTCCGTAGTTCATGCATTACATACACACTTTTTTAGTCTTGCTGGCTAGTTAGAAGCAACCTAGTACCAGAGTTATTTTTTCGCGTATTTTCCGTTTCACTTCAACGCCTCTTAAAAAATCGTCTTGAGTATACCAGCAGTATCCACCAACCCAGTCATCTCACAAAACGTCCTATTGCTGTCCCTTTTCGCAAAGTGCACCCCATCCACCTGAGGGTAATGAGTAGGATTTCCCTTCCGAAGGCTGTATGAGTGTATCCCTGGTAGGAGAGCAGAATTTTCAACCTCAGGGCATTTAAAAGGCCCTATTTCTACCAACCTCGTCATGCGCCATGTCTAAGATTCCAAGAATAAGATAAGTTGACGTTACGTAAGCCTTTTCCAGAAGCTTACTAACCTTTTCTTGACGGTCAGGCTGCTTGTTTGCAACACGGATTTTGTTCTAGGAAAGGCTATATGAAATGTCATAAATCTCAAAACGTATTAGCAGTAAGCTCTACGTATTGACTAAATGATTCTAAAACCTTCAATAGTCACTGCATAATAATGTGCTGTGGTTTTCAAATATGGACTAATGATGACCTAAATCACTGTTTCTGGTCTATGGATAACTCAACGTTATCGATCGTATAATTATTTGTGCTATGGTGGCCAGTATACATAATAATATACTTTATCATTGCTAAATATTAGTCCATTCTGTTAATTTCTGTAAACCTTTCTGAAAGTTTTCACTATCCTTTCCGTTTTAAGAAGACCGATACTGACAAAAACCTAGCACTGATAGTAACGTTTATGAGTAATAACACTGGTCCTAAGATTGTACTTTGGAGTGCTTCATTAAGCACTTCCCACCAAAGAACTTGGATTCAAACTGTTCTGTTTGCCTATTCATAAAAACTGGTTTTCTATGGAAATAAATTTATCTTCATTCTGATATTGCCTAATTGGATGAAGCCTAGTGCGTTAGACTCTACTGAAAGCCTTAGTGAAGTCGGCGAGAACTATTTCTATAGATAACTTATGATCTTTCAGAACGTCCCGGTTTTCCATTGCTACATATAAGTTTGTGATACATATATATTACCCTCCCTAAAAGTAATTTCCTTTGCGAAAAGTATCTGTTTTTAATAAGATGCTTAAATAATTCCTTGCGAACGATCTTTAAAATCTTGGCCAGTACGCTTCATTGTCATTTTCGAGACTCCTGGTTACCTGTTTTAGACAAGACTTATTTATTCATTTATTTGAACATATATATACCGATACAAGGGGGCACCGAATACATATGCACCACCCAAGTCACTTGATTTGTGTGAGGGTTGGAATACTGCCCGGATGACCAGACCAAAGCAGATAGTCTTCTTAGAAGGCCACACACGGAGCCTTCGACTTAAAGGTCTAATCCATAAGGCAGTGGAGCAACGTCAGGAGATGCAGTCCATGATAGTCGGTGACCAATAATTGGTTCATACACCATTCGTTCCATCAGGATCCTGGAGCCCATGTGCATCATTGGTTTGGAATGGGGGTTTTCCAACTTCCCTAGGTGGATCTTCCGTGTCCTACATACTTTATTTTAGACTGTTTGAGAGTATCTCTAAGTTGGATTACAAATGCGTAGTTGAATTCTTACTTAAATCTAGCTACATCTATATGTAAATAGTACTTATTACGTATTATTCTTATTTCTTCCTTATAAACTTTTTATTTTATATTTTTAGCATAATGGAATTGATTTAATCTTACAAATATTATATAGTGAAATAAGTGGACAAAAAAATTATTATCATACATTTTGTGATAATCTTAATCAATCCATGTTAAATATGTCTATCCAATGTAATCATGATGAAGATGATCATTCCAATACAATTAAAAAGAGTTTTAATAAATTACATAATAATGATCATTATGTAACAGAATATCCAACCATAGCAACCACAACCACCACCTCCACCACCCCAACAACAACAGAATCATCAATAAACAGTAATCAAGTCAATCATTCATCATCATCCCCATCCCCACCATCATCATCATCCTCATCACCCTCATTATTATTATCTTTTAATAATTCAATAACAATAAAAAATTATTTAATAAAACAAAAAAATTTATTAAACTTATCCATATTTAATTCTACATTAGATTTAATTGAAGCTGGTCTACGTTGTTTATCTCATTTAACTATAGGACATATGGAATTAATAAATGTTTATCATTATTTTATACATCAACGTATTGCATTCAAATTAATTATATCAATAGGGAATATATATTTACCATCATTATTATCATTTCCATTTGATCAATATATAAATTTATGTAAAAATAAAGATACTACTAATAATACAATTTATAATATTACTACCACTAGTAGTACTACTACTGCTACTACCACTAATGGCACTACTACTACTGCTACTACCACTAATGGCACTACTACTGCTGCTACTACCACTAATGGCACTACTACTGCTGCTACTACTACTAATTGGGAATTTGATTGTTTAACACAAATATTACAATTAACTAAAACATGGACTATATTAGTAAGAAATTTATGTATAAATTATTATAGTACTGAATTTAAATCAAATACAAAATTAATAACTAATAATAATAATAATAATCATTTATGGCCAAAACATTTACGTTCACAATTACGTCATGGAATACATAAATTAGTACAACATTTAAGGCATTTAATCAATTCGGTAAGTTTTTTTAAAGAAAGCTTGCTTTATTATATCTATTAAATATATTTATTATGTATGTGTTGGATGCTGACCATCTCAGTGGTCTAGAGGTTAAACGGTCGAGCGCGAGATTGATAAGTGCTGGGTTCGAATCTTGTGAGGTGGGAACTGCCATTGAGGAGTCCCACAATAGGATGAAACGGTCGTCCAGTGCCAAACCAAAACGTGGCATCAGTGCTTAAAGTCACTAACTTTTAGTCTGAGCCATGTTGGTAGATGCAGACTAATTGGTTGGGGTCCATGTGACTATCGTAACCATTGGTTGGAGACTGTGTGACATGGCTCAGAATCGATCACAATGGCCTAGGTGTACACACTCTTTATCTTCCCTTAAACCTTGAGATTAAAATTGCTTCATATCTGTCTTCCTTTCTGTACTATATCCTTATATACAATCTTTCTTTTATATATTACCACCACTAAATAAACTACTTTTATGAATTCGGTTTTCATGTTGTTGTGCTAATGAGTGAGGTATGGCAACTTGGCCCGATGCATATATGTGCCTGGTCCTACGTTTTTAACTGACTTACCAGTGCTTTCAGGTTTTCCATGTTGGTCTAGCTTCAATTGACTCATGAATTCAACTATTAAAATTATTATGTATTCATTGTAGTTATTACTTGGTTTTTATTTAATACTGTCTATTATTGTTTAGTTGTTCACACTTGATGTGTGATTAAATTATACAGTTGTTACATTGTAAATTATTCGTTGAATGACATGATTCAAAATCGTTTGCAACGGCGAAGGTACATCCTTCCATCTTTTTGTTCTACCAAATTGTAATCTGAATTCTTTTTTTCTCTCTCTCACAATACTTATTGTGATTTAGTTATGAAATAATAAATGACAGAGCTAATTTATCAGACGAAAGTTTACTTAGCGTGAAGCTTCACCGGTGCCTTGGAGACTAGTAATATCACCACCTAATTGCCTAAACTTAGGTGGACTTGTCGATTTCTGACATATAACAAAGTGCTTCTTGTATAGATAGGTAAGAAGTAGAATTTCTAAATGATACATTTTACTAGTTCAATGGTCAACTGATTCGTTATCGTTATAAAACCGGGATTATGTACGTTCAACTTCAATGAATATGCATGACTGAAGATTTAGCCACAACTAACTGGACTAACTCGATAGGAGTACTACAAATTTGATTTACAAAATTCAGCCAAAATTATGAATCATATCCTCTCAATTTTTCAGTTAAGTATCATTTATTTATTTATTTGAACATATAAACATCGGTACAAGGGGCACCAAAAACATTTGCGCCACATAATAACAATAAGGTCAGTAGCAGTTATCATTGGTTTGTTTGAGGGCTGCAATGCTACCCAGACCGAAGCAGGTGGTTTTCTTAGAGGGCCACACCCTGAGCTTTCGACCTAAAGTTCTAATCCACAAGTCAGTGGAGCAAAGTTAGGAGATGCAGTCCCATAGTAACCGGTCACCAACAATAGGTTTATACGTCATTTGTTCGTTCAGGATCCTGAATACCTTGTGCACCATTTGTTTAGAACCAGGGTTTTCCAACTTCTCTCAGCTGAATCCTCCATATCCACCAAATCAGTTAATGCACCGAGCATTCTCTTTTCGTCCTCTCAATTTCATAAACAACAGTAATGCGTGAGAAGGCAGTGAGTAGGGATTGTGTTGCAATGGCTGTATAGGCGTGGTCATGTGAGAGCATTTGGAGAGAGAGAGAGCTGACTCTCCCCATCCTCAATCGTACCAGGGCATTTGGGGGCAATTCAAATTACCCCTGATTATTTGATTTCATTTGTTCTTTTTCAGATATATTTCTCACGTTTTGATTTATCCTCTTGCTGTTCTCATGTACAGTTTAAAAAGGTCTTATATTAATTATCTTTGATTGAGCGATACGAGACTAGTTAAAAGCTCGTGATTATTGCACGGTAATTCTCTCATCGATCACAGCCTTAACAGTTTAGTTTTACTTCTACTGACTGTACCGTTAATAAATTTACTTCCAAATATGCAAGGAAATATTGTTAAATTGTTATTTAATATGCTCAAAAACACTACCTAGTTCTAGACCTTTTTACTGAATACTTCTGATCATCCAACATGTAATTCAGTCAACTTAAGTGCTGTTAGAGGTATGAGGGTAGTTATCACTTCCCGGTGGCCCACACCGTTTAAGGGTTCTTCTAGAAGCACTTGAAAAGGAAATTGGATTAGAGGGGTGGTCTTAATAACCTGACAGTGTGACCGCAGTGCCCAAGGGACAACTGCTTGAGGTCGGTCACACACGACCTTTTTGTGGGTAATTTTTGTCTTAGCTCGCTACTTGTTAGGAATTTACCTCCAAAGACGGAAATCCGTGGGATAAGGCAAGGTGTGTATTTTTAGGGTCGACCTTTTCTAACCCCACCCCTCCTTATGAGGAGGCAGCATCGCTGTTATGCTGGTTGTCTGAAGGAAACACCTTACTGCAGTCACACCTCTATGCAGTCAGCAGTACTTCTCCTTCGGACCTTGGGTTTGCTGCTTTTAGTCCTACCGTTCTTCAACCAACCTGTCTGGCATGGTAGGACCTTGAGGAACGATTGTTCCAACCAGTATAGCTCGTTTGGTTCATCATGATAGGTAAGCCGGACCACCACGTCAAGGTAGCAGCAACGTTCGGGAACAGTCAACTGTATTGTTGAACGGATAATTTTAATATCTGTACAGAAATTATGACCAAACATTTGAAACAGTAGCATTACTTATTATCCGCTTACTGATCAGCTACTTTATGACTATTGTTTCATCAGTTTATGTCTTAAGACGTTTTGTTGTAAGCATGTTCAAACCCTATTGTTTATTCAACTGAAAATTTTTAACAATTTCCTGAATTATGTAACACCTTTTTATTTGTTTTTTTTTTAAGGCAAATACTTTCATCATGCTTGTGTGAACATTCAAATAATTATAGAATTGGATGAATAGATACTACTTATTTTATAAGACATTTCTTCTATTCATCCATATAGAGCCTTATGAATGAACCATCACTTCACTTTGATCTCTGAGTTATATATATTCAATGTCAATGTGTGTATTCATCATAAACTGTACAGACATACAAATGTATAGACTAAAACATTTATCGTTCTTTCTAATTGTCTAGTCATTCATTATTGAAGAAAAACTATAAAAACACATTTGTTTCGGCAACTTGACACGTTAGTGTTTCCTTTCTCTCTCTCTCCCTCCCTCCCTCCTCCTCCTCTCTCTCTCTATATATATAGAGAGAGAGGGAGAGAGAGAGAGAGAAATCAGAAACCACATTGTTTACCTGAAATCCAAATCAATTTAAATCAGACAGGGCTGACGAATGTAGAATATTCATTCAGTAATTCGTTTATGATTTGAATCTTATTTAAGAAATTAAACTAAATGGATGATGAGGTTATAAAATGTAGAAAAATCTATACTATACCATGTAACTGCTATAGATATATCTTAAAAGTGTCTATATACTGACTGAATCTGTAATTCAATGATATTTCATTCTAATCTATTCCACTTTAGTCTGAATGCCCCCCCCCAAATGCCTTGGTACGGCTGAGAGTGGGGAGAGTCAGTTATCCCTTTCCAAATACTCTCACATGACCACGCGTATATAGTCTTTGACAGGGAAGTCCTACTCACTGCCTTCTCGTGGCATTATTGTTGTTTACGAAATTGAGAGGACAAAAAGCGAATGTCAGGCGCTTTAATCGGGTTGGTGGACGCGGTGAGTACACCTAGGGGAGTTGCAAAACTCTGATTCCAAACCAATGGTGTACATGGAACAAATGGCGTGGCACAAATCCTTGAAGTCACTGAAAATTGGACTGAGTCATGCTGGTAGGTGTAGACTACCTGGTTGGGATTCGCGAGATGATAGCAATCGATGGTTAGAGACCTTGAATGACATGGTTCAAGATCGTTTGCAATGGCGAAGGTGCATCCACTCTTTATGTTCTGCCAAATTATAATCTTCTGGATTCTTCATGTCTCTATCTTTATTCTCTTTCCAAATTTATTTCACTGGATTGTACTCCTTGAATAACATCTTCAAACCGTAATCTTTCAGATTACTGCTTATACTTTTACTATTTCTACCACTATGGGATTTGAATCGACAACTGTATCTGTGTGCTAATGTGGTATGGCAACTCGAATTGATGTACGTACGTACGTACGAAGTCCTACGTTGTGACTGACTGACTGATACTCGAAGTATACTTTACAGTAATATTGATGCTAAGTAAGCGAATAATTATGGTCCACTATAATTTCCGGTAGTTCTATCCGTGAAAATCTCCTCAATTAACTGAGGGGGGGGGTATTTGGAAAACTAAATTTTCATACAGATCAACCAATGAATGATTACAATCAAAATTGTACAGTATCAATTTCATTTCTTTCATTCAACTGATTTTTGTCCTTAAAGTTGGAATATTTTACTTTTGAGGTCAGATAAACTTAAAAATCAATATTTTTTAACATTACTCTAGTGAGTCGGTTGCTTGTATTAATGTCAGTAAATATTGTTTTAAAAATGTGTATACATGAATATACATTTATAAGCATTTAAATCAAATGTAGCTTTAACTCATATATGATATTCTGTTATAAAACAATATCCATTATGGATAGTGGCTAGCAGTGAAATCCAGTTTGACGCGTGTTTCGTCCTATTTGGGACTCGTCATCTGGATGTACTTGCATCTCAGAGTTGATGTTCACTCAGGGAATTGAACCCAGTACCGTTCGCTTCAAACGCCATTGCGTTATCCACTCAGCTACTGAGTTTTGATAGCCACTTGCTTGTGCAATGGGATGAAATTTAAATTGACTTGGTATTGTTTGTTTGAATCTTCCTATTGTTATTTAGGACTCCAACTGGTCAGTCTCTTATTAGCATATGTGCATACTGTGCGTATTGCCTTGAT